AGTTGGAGGTCGACAGAGATATTCATCAGCGTCTATTTTGCTTGGGTCCTCCTGAGTCTCGTTGTGAGGTGATGATGCTCTACTTGAGTCCAGCACGAACTCAAGGTTGGACTTGTGCTTGTCCCCAAGAATATCATCTAACTCATAAAAAAATTAAGGTTTTTTAAGAAAACATTCCCCAGTTTGTCTTGGCTGATCTTTATATTTCATTTAGAAATGCTGCAAATTCATAAACTTCTGGTGGCACTTCTCTCTTTCAGAAACGCCCTCTCCAACAAAGAATCCCATTGCATTCATTCTATTGACGATTTCTAGCCATAAGATATTTTTACTAGTTTTTTTGTCATTGAGCTTATCTCTTCATCAGTAGGTTTTTTGCGGAGATCCATATAATTTTTGATGAGTCTTATGATATTGAGGAGTCTGATGTTAGGGGTTCATTTCAGAAATTATCCTTTCCAAAGTGTTTTTGAATTTGTTTTAAATAATTCACGGCACATTCAGGACCTGAAAACATTTAGATGCAAAATCTCTAAAAAAAAAGGACAATTTTATTGGACACCTTGTAAACTATGGAAAGTGTCAAAATCGACATCCAAGCAATAATTCTCCAGTTTAATTTTGTAAATCCTCACGAAGTGTTTAATAAATAAATTTTCCCAAACAATCAAAATAAAGCAGAAAGTAACAACTGACGTAACGTAACGTTAAATTCAGTTTCAAAACCAACCTCACGTTGGTTTTGAATCACCATGCATGAATACGTTTCAAATCATAATTCATGTTACGTCATCATTCAACGTCAGAATGCATGTAAAAGATAACATTCAAGCAGATGCACCACAGGAAAATCCTCAAAACGCTCTGAAAGAGGTTCCGAACCTTTTCAATGCTTCCATTATTATTATCTGATACTTAAAATTATATATCTGAAGTGAATGGAAAAGATAAATTTTTATTTTTCGATCTCTTGGGTACGTCTGATATAGAAACAGCGAAAAATTGGATGTTCGGTATATTGAGTGTCTCATCCTTGTCAAGGCATAAGAAAACTTCAAAGCTATCCGTGATATATGGGTAATACTGAATTTTCCTAAATTGAAGAGTAATATAATTCGTCTCAAATCTTCTGTTCTTTCACGTTCCTGAAACGTATTTTTTGAAATGTTTCTACGTTTACTGGAAATCATTAAACTTCTAGGGACACTCTGGCCAGACACGTCTGACATTTATTTATATTTATATGCAAGTTCCCCAATTCAGAATGAATAACACAAAGGCAGAATCAGTGGATGAGTTGAATCCATGGGTATCAAATGGAATTTCTGATTATCTCTGCAATATCACATAACGTCAATTCAAATAACCGTAATATACCTATTATATCATGAGTAGGACGATCTCACCGGTATCATAAATCATTGTCAGAACTAATTTAGAATTCGTTTAGTATCAACTCAGATTCTGTTCCATTTTTCATTGTAGTTTTGTAACGATATTTTTTGTTGTTATTCAGAGAAAGTCTGTAATTGAAAATAAAGTGTTTTTTAAATAGTCATATTCAAAAGAGTGAATATAACATACCTGATGTGGCACAAACAATTGGTAATAAGTTATATAAAAATATGGAACTAATAAATTTGTGATGCTATCTATTGAGGTATCCAGTTCCGCAATATATTTTGTAATTCTGTATATACCTAACCTCAATTATTCCCAACCAGAGTTCCATTCCATAAATGATGTATCTAACAGAAGTACTTTTTATTTCAGATCGGATTCCTTTATCATTTCCAGTATTTTCACCGTCAATGACAAAACAACTGTTGGAATTGCCATCTGGATTATTATTCTAGCCATTATTGCTGGTTTACTATTACTCGTGCTTTTAATTCTTACTCTTGTGAAGGTAAATATTGCCAGAAAATTTTCCAATGCATACATGTGAGTATTTATATTTCAGTTGGGATTCTTCAAAAGGTCAAAAAAACAAGAACTTGAAGATTTGAAGGCCGTAAGTATTCATTTTAAATTTAAAAANCATTCTGAGGAGATCCGAAAACTATTGGGATGAATCAAATCTTCGGTTTTGTACTTCTCTGATAATTAAATTCAGTTACAGGTTCCAAATACAGAAAAGAATAAATGTATCAAATAAAATTGGAAACATTCATTTGAAATAAAATTTTAATCAATTATTTCTCCCACTTCTACTACAAATTCCTACCCGAAAACAACTACTTCCCTGATTTAATATCTCGATGGCTATTATATTACACCCGATAAACATTCGCGTTAATTGGCGAAAAAAATCCTTGTAGATACTTTTCATTGTCCAGCAATATTTGCATGAATTTCTGTGGAATGTAATTAAATATATCTTTCTTTGGGTATTAGAACCCCCCCTATCTGAATAATAAAAATGTTAAATTATCAGAATTTGCTGAAGTTCATTGAAGGTAAAACTGAAATGTGATTTTTGAGATATGTGATGGAATTAGCCGATACTTGATGAAACTCCATGATTTATTCAAGTAACACTTGATACACATTGAATAGAATTCTACTCAATCATAGTTTGAGTGAAATTTAGTTAGTGTGAAAACGCTTGTTGAACTTATTGTATAGCGAAACACGTGTTGCGGTTTTGTAAACTGTCCAGTGAAAATCTCACAATAAAGTGAGTAATTTTTCAGATTGTGGAAGGTTGAATATCCAAAACTGCGACAAAATGTTTTTCAAAAAAACATATCTTTCAAAGAATAATCCAATATAATTCATGATAATAGCCAGGAAAGTAGCAGTTTTCAACCAGGATTTTCAATGTGTAGAAAGGCTGAGAGAGATTAATGTTTCGAATATTAATGGCCAATAAAAAGTGAGTTTGATAAAAGTCACTTTTAATGGGCCTAATTTTATTTACTGAATAATTTTCATTCTGCTCCACAATTTTCAGGGAAAATTACTACCCACCAGTCTTGTTTTACAACCCACTCTTGAGGAAAATCAACATAAACAAAATTTCTGGTCATGATGAAATATCCTTCATTATATAAGTGAAAAACCGACACCTGTATTTTGTAGAGTCTTCAACTTATCCTATGGAATGGAGATTTTTTGATTCTGTTGAAATACCGCTCGAATATTGGTTATATAAAAAATAATTTTTCAAATGTTAAAAAATGTGGAAACTTGTAAGAGCGAAAGATTAACAAGGTCTCACCTTTTAACATGTCCTTCCTAGCACAGGTCCGACAGTCATCCAAAAGTTTACATCTAACCAACGAACGTTGACATCCATCGAATGAGTATAACGACACACCCACGTTACCATCTGATCAATCAATACACCCCTTGCTCTAATTAGTGATATGAAAAATTGAAAAAAAAACGCTCCTCAAATATTTGGGGTATTTTTACCATTTCGAGTAACTATCAAGAAATGATTACTAGCTGATCTTCCAAATGTCACTCATCTCATGTTATGGTTGTTAGAAGTGTTTTTGTTAATGTTGTCTCAAAGTTGTCTCAAACACAATTCCTGAAGAGTGGCCATCAACAGTTTTGGGGTGAATGTCGCCCTGTTTTGAAAATGAAAGTAACGATGTCAAAATGTCAATGAAAAATCGAGAAGTTGTGAATTTTCCTAAATGTTGAAGTAATTCCTGATAAACTGTTGACGCAGTTCATGATAACAGCTTTTCTTTTTTTTGTTTTGACCACCCTGTATAGGGCATCGTTGTATGACTTCAGGTGTTGTTATCACCCAACTATACAATCATATTTTCGATTAAAATATGAGTATTAACAATATTTGCGTTTTTCAACTATACTCATTTTGTTGAATTTTCCTGCCAGGTTTTCATTTTGAATCACTTTCAGTTACCCCATTTCTGACTCAAATACTTTACTCACTTATTTCACAGGCCCAGGAGGAAAATCACGAAGGATTATCTGATGATCTTGAAGAATGTCATCAAGAGGAATTATCAGACCCATATAACATGGGTTCATCATTAGAAGGACTCTGCGATGAAAATGACCAACAGCAAAAATTGTGAAGTTCATTCACATATTTGTAGGAAGTAAAATATGTTAAGATTATTAAACACTTTGAGATTCTTTGTTTTATTTTTTTTATAATTAAAGCTCATTTTCCTAGAGTTACCCATTTAATTGGACAATACATTGGAAAAATCATATTAATCTATAACTCAATCCTAAAAGAAAAAATGTATAAATTATACCAGGTGACACAGATTTGTGATACACCTCCTTTTTTTTTCTTCTAGCTATTTTTACGAAATTTGGAATAATGTGATCATAAAGATACACTTTTTGACTTAATGGAAGATTTTTTCAACTTCCACTTTTTCAGAAATGACATCAACGTTTGATTTTCAATTGAAACACCCTGTTTGTTATTGTTATTACATTTTTGGAATCTACATAATTTTCTGAATATATTTGATATGATATTTTAATAATGGATTCGAACACATAATTCTGTCAGGTGTCCTGCTAGATCACTCGATCAAACACCTTCAGACTTCTAGATGGGGAAATTGTTATGAAACAAAAACAACTTTTGACGTTTCGATAAACCGTTACTGTTAGTAATTAAATACATTGTTGGAGATCGTATTGATAACAGAAATAAACTGGAAATTCCACATGTTCATAATAGAAACGAGTACAACCGGTGAGCAGCAACTGCTTTCGCAGATTTTCACCATAAATTAATATCATATTCACTTTCATGTTCCATTTATAAATTTGTGGCCTCTTCAACTTATTTCTGTTAGATATCCGATTTGACAATGTGTTCAGTAACTAACTGATCATAACGTCTTAGCGAAGTGTCAAAAGTTGTTCGTTTCATAGCCACCTTACTAACTTACTTTTATTGAATTGCGAAAATACTTAGTAATTTTTATGGCTCTCTAGATCAAAAAATAAACAGTGTCTTAACGATGAAAATATCAACTATAGGTTATCATTAGATTCAGAAAATCATGTAGATTTTTAAAATGTAATATCATACGCGATAATCCATTCGAAAATCAAACACTGATATACATTTCAAAAAAAAACGGAAGTTATGAATAGATACTGACCCGTTACTGACTCATGATAATAATTATTTAATTTTTGCCTTATAATTTTCAATTAAGACTTGTTTCGCTGAACAGATCAGTCCTACTAAGGAAGCTACCGCGTAGCGAAACGCTTTTTATATAAAATGTATAGTCTGAAATTTGTATAATTTTCATCATGGAAAAAACTCCCAATACTTTAAAACGTGCTTCTTCACGAGCACATCTATTGTACCAAATTTCTGAAAAAATAGCTAATATGTGAAGAATTAACAAGGGGTGTACCATAAGTCTGAACACCGCTCTTCTAGACGCTTGAAGTAGTAACTAACTAAGAATAACAGTTAATCGAAACGCCTATAGTTTTTAGAATGTAGGCTTTCTTGCAGACCACCCGGTAGAACCATGTGTTCCAATCCATGACCTCTACGTCACACGAAGTAGCAAAGGTGACTTTGAGGAGGTGTTATGAGTTTCACCTTGAACGACCTTGGCCTATGTCATATGGCGACGCAGACAAGGTGACTTTGAGGTGCTGTTTTGGGTTTAACATTGAATGATCGTCATACTTTCCCCATATTTTCGACAAGGTGACTTTGACTTCCAATGAATTCGAGCCAGTTTTGCACCTACACGATCTAACGTAACCAAAGTGAATTTGAACGATTGTTTTGAGTTTGACCTTGAACGACCTTTATCAACTTCACACAACGCAGGCAAGGTAACTTTGAGACAGTGTTTTGGGTNGTGGCATCAGATGGTGTGAACTTTTCCTCAATATAAATGTAACTATATGCAATATCGAGTATGAGGTCTTGAAAATTGATTGAGATTCGGATTTCATCTGAATTTTTGTAATATGGTGATCCATACGGTTTATATGTATGCTCATGAAGGCTGATTAGAGAATGATCAAACATGGGCTCCTCGAATACCTCCAGTTCATCACTTGTGGTGATGGTCACCATGTTATTACTATTTTTTATATCACACCTTCAAGCCAATAGATTTGAGAAAGTTTAGACTACTAGCGCTCAGCCTATATCTTGACCGTTTGTCGTGCATACGTAAAATGAATCGACTTTTAGATTTTCTCTTCTTCGAATGCACATGATCATAGTCTCCACCAAATGCATTACGCTGATTCAACTGTTGTCGCTGCTGTAATCGCTGGCTATTGAATCACAACCCCATTTTTTAGAAACAATTTTCGTGAAATTTATAGCTTCATCAATGATTATCATCTGCTCAGCGTTAGGAAATGATAAATACTGAGTTAAAATTTCGTCAACTCCAGCCACATACAAATTTTTCACAGTTGATAATCGCTCACCATCGTTTTTGCTCAATTGTTTGAATGCTTATCGAGGGTTGTTTCATTAAATGAGATAAAACATCTCGTTTTCTCGTTTCTTCCACCCTTTCCTTTCCTTCCACGGAGTACACACTTTTTGGTTGGTGTACACGAGGCACTGCGAGGCTGGGGCGGTGTCTTCCTCCCTCTCCCTTATTAGCTCCTTTTCATAACAAACACTCAGAGTTTCTCATAATAATCACTCAAAGCTTCATGAAGATCATCATTCTTGGTGTTTTCGAATTTCAAACACTGAATTTTTCTACATTTACACTTCACTCCTCCATTTTATTTTTTCCAATATGTTCCATCAATCCCAGTTCTACATCATTCTTCCACAATGTCGAGTACAGGACCCATCCAGGTACATGAAATAGATTCAACGTCCGATCATTTCAGTACAACCTTCGCTCAATTTCTGCAACGCATCTATGATCTTCCTGATGATTTCCCAGAACGTATAGAACAAGGTGTGCAAGAGGAAGTAGATGCAGAGTTTGAGATGGCTGTTGACGAGTTAGACAATCTAGATGATCATGCGGACGATGTCGTTAGTATATCATCTGATTCAGATGACGACACCATCATTATTGTTTCTGATGATGA